GCCCGGATCGTGCCCGCTCAGCACCGCGGGGAGCGGCGGGCTCGGCCCGGATCGTGCCTGCTCAGCACCGCGGGCAGCGGCGCCGCTGCGCTCGGCCCTCCTCCGCCGGGCCCCGCCACTGCAGCGCCGCTCGGGGCCGGGGCTGCCCTCACGGAGCCCTCCCTTCAGCGCGATGTCGCTCCGGACATCAGGCTGGCGACAGCGGGTGTAGGTTTGCCATCGGGGTGCTGGCGGTGAGGTGGGAGCTGGGGGGGACGACGGCCCTCAACAACCCAGGGTTTAATCTCCGCTGCTGGCCGGGGTGTCTTCCTAATTACATCCACAGGAATTTGTCAGTCTGGAGCCGTGCTGCAGTCCCGGTTGTGCCGCTTTCCTGCCCGCCGTTTGGCTGCTGTTGATTCCTGCTTCCTGGGCTGTTTTCCTCCCGGATAAGTTATTGCCGCTGTAGGGAAGGTGTCCCATTGCTCAGGGCTAGAGCGGAGGGGAGCGAAGGGGAAGTTTCTTGGGAAGCACTTCCATTGTGCTCGGAAAGAAAGTGGCTCAGTGTCCTCCTAATGCATCTCATCTCCCCTCTGCCCTCTCTCCCCTGCTAGGACTCGCCAGATCTTGGGAGTTTCTTGCTGCATTAATTTACTAAACAAAAAAAAAAAAAAAAAAAAAAAAAAAAAAAAAAAAAAGAAAAAGACAGAAAAGAAGGAAAAAAAAGGAGGGGGAGGTGGAGAGAGGGAAGGCAGAGGGGAGGGGGTAACCCAGCCTCAACACCATCCCAAGGCCCTCCTCTTAGCTGTGCTCATTGGTCTCGGGGCTGAAAAAACTACTCTAGGACGTGGTTGGATAAACGCATGTTGTTCAGCAGAGGCCGTTAACCTTTAAAGCGCTGATACGTTTTGGTTTATTTCAATTTTTTTACCCCGAATTGCTGTCTTTTTAAGAAGTCTCTGAAATCCGTCTCCCTTGACAGGGCAAGAGAAACGTGCCTTAAATCTCCGTCTTGTGGAAGATCTGCTTGGCTGGCAGCTGATATGTGTTGCTGTTGGCTTCCAAGGAGCATTTCTGTGTTGTGATTATTTTGTTGTTTAGCTTTGTTTTATTATTTTTTTCCTTTTTCTCTTTGTTTTGTTTGATAGGCTTTTTTTTTTTTTTTTNTTTTTTTTTTTTTTTTTTTTTTTTTTTGGTCTTTTGCATTTGGTTTTTCAAAGAGCTTTGGCAAACACCAGAGCCATCAAAGCCAGGGCAGGTAAGGAGCATTCAGTAGTTTCTGATCACAGCTCCAGCTGTGCTCGCAGGGTGCTGAGCTGGTGGTCGGGTGGGGAGGATGGGGCTCCTTGGTCACTTTGTCACTGTCACTCTGCTCGGCTTCTCAGCAACTTCTGAGAATTGAAAAAAACTTAGCTCTCCTAAATAATCCAGGATTTTTTTTTTTTTTTCTTCTCTACTGTCCCGCTGTATTGGGATTATTCTTCTTTAAGTTCTGTTTTGTTTACTTCTCCTGTGCTTTGCAAAACTCCCCACGGCAAAGATTTGCTTTTAACCCCTGTTGAGCGTCTTTAATCTGTTCAAGGACTTTTCCTATCCCACGTTGAAGGGTAGAGGATGACTGCTTCCTCCACCACTATTGTAGCCCCCCTCCAGGCTGGGAAATAACTTTGTTTTTCTTCTCCTTTTGAGTTGCATCTCAAAGGACTTTACTGCCGTACTAGAATTCACATGATATTTTTGATTTTCTGATTTTCCTGGTTTCTTTTTTCTTTATTTTTTTAATTTGGTTTTGTTTTAAAGCAGTGTGTTTATGTAGTGAAGCAGACAGAAATATCCTTTGGGTCACCATTCAAAAGAAAAGAAAGACCTGCTTGGCTTCTAGCCACTGGTACAGTGGGAATTTAATCGGATTTACTCCAGCTCCTGGGTCTCGGTGTCTGGATAGATTAATAACAGGCTCTGATTTCACCTCATGGAGATTCCTGGGGACGTGATTCCATGCAGCATTCCCTGCCTGCTGCTTGCTGGCTCCTCACTGTCCCTTCTCTCCTGACATGTATCCCCACATAGATGAGCCCCTGTCGCTGTGCTTTTCCAGCCCCCTGTGCACTGACAGACCAGAGGAGGAGCTCCAGACCGAGAGTGTTAACAGGACCCACACAGCAGGAAAGAAATGGTCTTTCCCTGTTTTATTTTTTTTTAGTGGGAAGCAGTACAAAGAGCAGGAAGCAGAATCATCTCTTGGCATCTGGGGGTTAATTGTAGAGGCTGTCAGCCTTCTTGTTCCCTTAGAAATGGAAATGGGCTCTGTAGAAGATAGCAATGTCTCATGTGGTATTTTCCTTGCTTGCAAGTTTGATCTTTATACCAAAGGAATCTGGGCTTGTTTCCTCTTGTCCCCACTTGCTGTCCCTGCACTCTCTTGGGCCAGTGGAGCAGGGGCGCTGTGCTTAAGATCAAAAAAGCAATTAAATCTGTGTGTATACAGGATAAATAATCTTCTTGGCTGTTACCGTTGAAGGGTCTCAAAGCTGCTTTTCCCAGGGAAAGAACTTCTCTGCTTTCTGCCATCTCTCCTGGTGGTGATGCTGACCAGGGGGCCCAAGGACTCTCCAGCTGATATTCAAATATTTCTTCCTACTGGAGAGAAACTACAGCATTATTTGCTTTGACATTTGGAGAAATAGAGGAAAAAACAGGTTGCAACAGAGATTTGAAGCAGGTCTAGGCATTGGAGTGATTTAGACCGGGGTTAAAAAATAAATGTGAATTTCAGGATATAAGTTTTGCATGTGTTATCAGGATGACACCAAAACACATTCTGCTTTATATTTTTGTCTGTGCTGTACTATCTCACTCTTAACTGCTTACCTTGGTACAGTGCACTGTACTGTGCTATGTGAACATGTCAGGCCTTGGCCAGGATGATTTCAGGTCCTTGGAATTCAAATCCTCTGATTTAACCCCCACTGACCCCCATCTATACTTTCTGTGTTCTGAAGTTCCTGATGTTCTTTCATCTGTAGGTGTCTGTGATGAAGTTTCCCAAATTTGTTCTGTACCATGCCAGATATTTAGATTTTCTTCAGTTCTCCAAGAAGTTTACAGCAGATAAACTGGAAATAGGCCTGGAGATTGAATAATTGAATAATCTGCAGTTTTATCACTGTTACTTTAAGTTACCCTTGTCACCAGGTACTTCTCTCCCTGGGTCTGTCCTGGCTTCCTCTTAGATCAGGTTTTAGATTTCTGCTTGGTTTTGTTGCAATGGTTTGTGATTTTTTTTTTTTAGAGGAAAGGTTCACTTACCAGGTCTGCTGCTTTTCAAGCAGAGTCCAAATGGTTTTGAAAAGGATTCGTCTTTCTCTGGTGGTACTTGTACAAATTACAGAGTTGAAGATAATTTATCATTATGTCAAATGAGGCTCTTAAAATTAGAATTACCTTCTGCATGTTCATCTTGTTTTTAGTTTCAAAGTAGATGAGTCTTGTAAAACTCTCTTGTAGGTGAAATTGTCTGGGAAGATTCTCTGTTATCTTCTCTCTGGGTTGTGAGTGATGGATTCTCTTCAATATAGGATACCACAAAGATAATGGCTTTAATTTGTTTTTCAGCACTGAACTAAAACTTGGGGACATCAGCTGGGTAGGGTGTGCATGAGGATTGATAAAAGTCAAGGAATATCTGTTTTTCCTTTCTGAGGCTCCTCCCTGATCCTTTCCCTTTGAACAATACATGTGGAATTCTTCTCTGTGAAGAAAACTATTCTTCCTGATAGGCTGTGGCTTCATTTTGGTTTTGATAGAATAGAATTGCTTAAAGACAAGGAGAACACAGAAGGCCTTGAGAATCACTCTGTGATAAAGTGACCATGCACTCTACACTGAGAATTAACCTAAAGACTCATTCACAACTGCAAGTTGATTTCATTCCTGATCTGTTTTCCATCTCTGGATTTTATAGCACGTAGAGTCATTTTAGTCTCCTCTTGCTTTTTGGAATTCAAAATCTGATATAAATTCATCCTGGTGATAAACTCCTTCAAGTTGACCATGCATTGCCTTCCCTCCCCAGATAAATGACAGGATTTTTGGTTAAGAGGTGGCCAGCACAGCAGTAAAGTACACTCAGCATTATCTTGGGAATACTAAATCCATTATTGTCAGTTTGTTCTTTGGAGAATGGCTAATGAGGGAACAGTGTCCCAAGAACTTAGATTCTGCTTCCCAAGGCAGAGATTCAAATTGCTACAGCAGCACTACTTGCCTTTTTGACACTGAACAAATGAAAACCAAATTTTAAATTAGAGTTAAGTTCACAGAATTTTACAATGTTCCATAAAGTAATTTCCTATTCAGCTAATTTCCATGCCGAGTAAGCTATTTCCATGCAAGATGGTTCAAGTAAAGACAATTTTCTTAGAACCTTGAGAACATCTAATTTTTTTTTCTTTTTTTAAGAAAGTAATTGCTAGTACAATAACATCATAAAGTGTTTCTGCAATAAAGTGCAGAAAAAGATTCTTTACTTAAAACATGTACAGATGAAAGAATTCACTGAACCTAATGCCAAGGTCCATCTACCACTACTTTTGGAAGTATCCATAGTCTAAAAATATTTTTAACATTGAACACTGATGAAAAGTTTGATAAAGTCTCTTTTGATATGCATTGGCTCTGGAAAAAAACCACTGGTGTCTTGTCTGGGAAATTCAGCAGCCCAAGAATGGAAGGCTCCAAGGAATGGAGGTGATGGATTTGTGCTGTAGATGATTGATATTTTTGACTGAAATTCAGAACAAATATCACTGTTTGACAGCCTATTACCCCACATGTTTTTAAAATTACAGGTCTAACTATATTTGAGGTTCAGCCCTACAACTTCCTCTGCAAACAGAGCCATTCCATGGATTGTCCTTGACCTTCCCACTCCTGGGCATGTTATTTCTTGGCAAGTAGAGTAGGAACTGATTTCCCATCATTGGAAACGTGGTCCCACAAGCCTGGTGACATCCAGCCTGTGATCACAGACTCTCTGGAAGGGCAGTGCAGCCCTGGGCTAGGATGACTTCATGACACCCTAAACATTTGCAGGAGCCCAAGCAAAGATCTCGCTTTGTGAAACATGATTTGAATGTGTGTTTGTCCTCCCATGTCCAGGCTAAGGCAGTAATCCCTAAGGAAGAGAAAATAAGAATGAATGGTTGTTTCCCCCTAGGAGTGCTGAGTTATTAATAAATTTTCATGTCTCATATGTCACATAATGACACTTGAGCTGTGAGTAGTCTCACTGAGTATCACAGGCTTGTCATGGTTGCAATTTATGTACATTACCTGTCTTGCAGTAAGAGAGCAGCAAGGACCTTGTAGCCCTACCAAAATCACACTGCTAGAATTACAGTGCAAGCCTAAAAGAAAATTACACTCCCACTAGAAGCTTGCAGGATTTAGGTTAATTGTTTCTGACCTGTACAGAACAATTACCAGGTGATTTCCAAAAATCCAGAAGTACTATTTCTTCAAAAATCTTGACCAATGAAACTTTTTTTGGTTACATTACTGTGTGAATGAAAAGAAGCCAAAGCTACTTTTACAGCCAGTCTTGTGAGAACTTGTTGGAAGATGTTGGAAATATTCTGCAATTGTTGAAAATATTCTCTTAGCTCTCAGTGTTGTGAAGCCCATTGCTCCTGCCTTAGCTGCCCACAAATGCTGCAGGAAATTGAACTTTGCTACCCTTTATATTGTTTTTAAATGAAAAAAACGCTTTATTTTGTTGTGAGCAGGCACCAGGTTTTGCAGAGGTATAGAAGGATTCAGGGCAGACCTGGAGTTATTCACATGATTCTCTTAATTCCTGTTGTCTTGCAAAAAAAACAAGCAAAACAATAATCACTCAATTAAAAACCCCCACACTTCTCAAAAAAANAAAAAAAAAAAAAAAAAAAAAAAAAGCCCCAAACCAAAAAGATATAGGACGAATAGGATGATAAATCAAGAAACAACCAGTGATGCTGAAGTGGCCCCTCCATGTTCCAATGCTTAGATACAGGAACATCCTCTAACATGCCCCAATTCACTCACAGGACCAAGCAGCAAAATTTATCTTCTGGAGTGAAAGAATTAATATGCATTTTTATTACTATTATTATTTTTAAGCTTTTGGCAATAGATATATTTGCATGTCAGACATCTAAAGAATAAAAAGAATTCTTGTAGGATCCCTCCTCTTTTAGACATTGCAAAGGGGTTGATCCT